AATATATTAATAAACCACAATATCATCTTTCTTTATATAAATCATCCTGTTTAGTTGCTTTGGTGAAGGCAACCCAAAAGGACCATGCTCAACCCGGTCAAGTACATACCAAATATAGTTATGGACTTAGACACTAATCCAATACATATATTAGGCAATTCTATCATACAGTTCCTGAAGATCCCTATCGTATTACTAACATGCTGTTCTAACATATCATAACATAATCTCAATTAACAGTGTGGTAATTTGGGGTCTACTTACTGGCTCCGTCTGATCGTACATATCACATCATCCTTGATTATTTTGAAAACTATTTGATAATTGTTTTAGAAATCTTTTTCCTTAGTTTGAGACTGGATTCACACGAGTGTTCCTCCAATTCACTCAAACCAAGGTTATGATACCAACTTGTGACATCCACAAATTCATGAAAAATTTAAACTTTTTTAAACCAATCTACAAATCATAATTGTTTACAAAATTAGTTTTCAAAACATGTTTAATATCAGAGTTTTCCCAAAATCATAAAACAAAACACGAGGATGTGTACGATCACGCCTTTGCCTTCCCACAATCATCTGAGGTACCTGAAACATAACCCAAAACTGTAAGCCCAAAGCTTAGTGAGTTTCCCCCAAAGTACCATCACATCACATAATTATAATAATAACAGTAAACAACATGCATACAGAACCTTCAGTATGACTGGACCGCCTCACCAGGCTTTCAGCCTATCGGGACCGTTCTCCGGGCCTTCGGCCTGACTGGTCCACCTCACGGGCCTTCAGTCTATCCGGGGCCGCCCTGGTTCTGTTGGCCTTCAACATAAAGCAGGACCGCCTCAACCCAACCACACATACATTGTGTCGATACATATATACATAACAAACAATCATACAAATAACCAACCAATAATAATATGACAGATCTCACATATCACTAAGCATAACATCATCCTATCTACCATGATACAGATCAAGAAGATCACTACAATACACAATCATATGATAATACAGGATAACAATACGAAAGGCCGACATTGGTGCCTTTGACCCCATAAGTACATCGAGTACAACTCACCTCACACTGTTGTATCACACTGAAAGTCTCTAGCTGCTGGCTCACTAAAATCCACGCACTATCACAGCGACATAAACATCCAATTTATAATTGGATTACAAACCTTAGATAATAGTCCATAATTAGGGTAAAATGCCACTCTACCCCTTTTTCCAAATTGGGCCCAACTCCTACTTGGGGCTTACTCTAAATTTCATCCATTCACGTAGCCAAAAACACCAATACTCAGATGGTCCAATAGGGCCCAAGCATCTAAGCCCAAAAGGTGGCCCAAACTTGCTAAACCCAACAGACTGAGTACGCGGGGCGTACCCAGCTGTACGTTCAACGTACTCTGCCTTGACCAAGAAACGCATTGTTGACCACCTACACCCAGCGTACGCCCTCGTACGCCCAACGTACGCGGTGGCCATGCAAACTTCAAATAAATGCTTATTCCATTAAGTCCAAACGTCCAATAACCAGATCCAAGTCCAAGAAGGTGCTTTTAACCATAAAGTTTCCAACTTTATGGTTATGCATGCATCATTAAGACCCAAAACCAACTTCCTAGTTGGTTGTAACCACTAAGGACCTCTACACTTTGCATGCAAGCACTAAATGAGTCAAGAAGACATTTTTATGACTTAACACAACTCAAATATTCTGAAAAGGTAGCTCCTTTGGTCTTAGAGTAGCATTTACTCATTAAGTCCAAGAAAAGGGGACAAAACTCATAAAACTCCATATGGCTAGATCTCTAAGGAATACAAGTAAAGTTTAAGACTTTATACCTTCTGGAGCTTCCCAAAGAGATGAAGATTTCAGATCTACAAGCTTGAATCCCACACCAAAGCTTCCCAAAGAATCCTTTCTTCTTTCTTCAACACTAAGAACACACACAAACTTAAGCTCAACACACATAAGGGCTAGGGCTTGCAAAATCGACTCAAAGAGGGTGGAGGCTGAAAGGATGAGGGAAATGTGGTTATAAGAGGGATTATATAGGGCTCAACCCTAACAATTAGGGTTTTCAATGTCTGATGAGTACGCCCCGCATACATAGGCATACACCTCACGTACTAGGGCGCGCCTTAGTACGCTAAGCGTACACACTCCCATTCCTTCCAAATTACGATTTTACCATTAGGGCTTCTCATGACTACTTCCTTCTATTACGAGGACCAAAATGACATAAATTAAAATCATAAGGATGAATTTGAAAGTACCTGAATACCGGGGTGTTACAAGGTTTTATTTCCTTGTTGTTCTAATTTGTATGAAAGTTTCATTGTACACCTGTGACTGTGCCTAGGTTATAAAATGTTTTTATTTTATTGAGTTAATATAATTTCATAAATTTTTAGAAATAACTCTGATAATCCCATTAGATTAGATGATAGAAAGTTCGGGTCGTTACATATTCCATCCGTAAGGTAATACCTAAACTTATATTCATTTTCATTAAGTGTGAAAGGAGCATCCAATGCCTTTCCTAACAAAAGATCGTTGAATAATGGTGACTGATCAAGAATGTTGATGTTGTTGTTGGAACCCGCAACCCCAAAATAAGCATGCCAAATCCATAAATCTTTGGATGCAACAACAACAACCCCTAATACTAGCGAAGGCGCTCCATGATGACCACTTGCATACCGACCTTTCCATGCCACGAGACAATTTCTCCATTTCCAGTGTGTGCAATCAATGCTTCCAAGCATAATCGGAAAACCATGTCTTTCTTCATGTGCCACATATAGTTGTTGCATATCATTCAACGAAGGTTTCCGCAAATAAACGCCATCGAATGTTTCAACATCACCTCTTGTCAATCTATACAAACTTTGTCTTTCAGTTCTCTCAGACATTCTCATATAATAGTCAATAGAATTGAGCGACCCCCCCATTGCCACCAGCTTAACTGCCGCAACACATTTTCTGTAACCCTAAGAATCATCGCCCACCTCTAGCATTATATCTCATTTGGAAAAATTCATACCTAAACATATATCTACTAGTTAAAAAATATATATTTATTTAATCTAACAACTATATTTAAAAATTCATACCTAAACATATATTTAATAAATAAAAAATATACTTATTTTATCTAAAAGCTACATTTAAAATATATGAAAATTGAAAGAAACGATATATGCTTTCAAAGGCATTGATTATCCATACGAACACACTTTTTTCGCAACCGAAACATTCTTTTAAATCGCTTGGCTGATAGACACAATTTTTCCCAAAATAATCGTGAACTAGACATTCGTGTCCTTCTTTGCGATTTCTATTTAACACCGCACGTCTTGTTAGTAGAAAAGTTGGATCTGGTTGTAATAGCATGTCCCTGCAATACTCGTACATCGTATTGATGAAGCATCATCATCATCGTTAGACAAGTCGAACAGATCCATTTTTTTTGTAGCAATATTGAAATTTTATAAAATATAGAAAAAAAAAAAGAATGATGTGAATGAGTTTGAAGTAGAAGGTATGTATTTATAGGTAATAAAATTTAATTATTATTATTATTATTATTATTATTATTGAAAAAATGACCATTGATACGGTTAAAATCGGAGTCAACATCGAAATTTAATTGGATATTCCTTCTGTTGCTCACCGTTCTCGTTATAATGAGACTTACCCTAACGCCGGTCGGGGGCGGTTTGAGAGCATCAGAATGCCATTAAAGCGCCTCCACGTCGGCCAAAACACCCTTTAACGGACCCGTACCGAGTAGTCTAAGAAAACCGGACTATATTTGTCATGCGACAACCTAGTTTCTCAATTTTCATGCATTAAACTCAATTTGGTCAAAGTCTTATGTCTAAAGTCTAAACGTTGATTTAAAGAAGTACACGGGACAATATGAGAATAAATAAACTTATGGGGTTTTATTGTGAACTTACTCTCTTCCAGAAATTAAAAACCCTAACAAAACCCAAGGTTAAAATCAAAACCCCTCATCCCTTTCGAAGCTCACTGGCATTTCTCAATACCCTCGCGATACAAAGGTACTATCTTTCTTCCCTTTAACCCAGTTTTTGATTACCCAACATCTTGCTTCTGTTGATTTCGATTATGTACGAATTTCAATTTTAAGCACATATCGAAGATTTCACTTGCGAAGTAAGCTTGTGGAGCTCCATAATGGTGCAAAATTAAAGATTCATCTATCATTGCTGTTTCCTTTTGATGTTTTGTAGACATAACGAGAATAGCGTGATAAGATGAACTCTTTATCTCGATTAACCTCTGCTTGATCGTTCAAGGATGTTATCTTTGCTTTTTTGCGGGTGTTTAGATCTGAGTTTAAGCCGCTTAGGTTTTGGCATATATTCTTAGCTCCTTAGTGTTTGAATTTCGTATCTGTTTGGTAAAAAGGTTGATACTTGATAATTCGTATCTAAATTCACATGTATTAAACATATATATGTTACAAAGAGTAACAAATTTGCTGAGAACAAAAAATGGTTTTGATATAATTACATGTTTAAGGGTGTGTTGTATATGCGTTTTCAAAATAATTATATGCATCATTGAATACTTACAATAGAATATACATAGTTTCAAAACACAACTAACTTATTTAAACAAACCACAAAACCATGATGTTGAGCGTTTGATCAAAAATTTAATGGACAAGATTAAAATCAGTTACTAAGGGGTTACAGACGGTTATAAAAATCATGGCACCTTACATTGACTCAAGCAGATCTGACTTAATCAGCAACTATCAAATCAATCAGATCTGACTTAATCAGCAACTATCAAACAACCCCGAGGCAGATAGTAAGTTCATATAATTTGGTTATATACTTATGTTATAACCAAATCTTTCAAATTTGCAGATTCGGATACAAAAAATGACCAATCCAAAGGTTTTCTTTGACATACTGATCGGCAAAGCGAAAGCCGGACGGATCGTAATGGAACTATTTGCTGATGTCACTCCAAAAACCGCCGAAAACTTTCGCGCGCTCTGCACGGGTGAAAGAGGACTCGGAGCTTCTGGGAAGGCATTGCACTACAAAGGCTCAGCCTTCCATAGAATCATCCCAAATTTCATGTGTCAAGGTGGGGATTTCACTAGAGGTAATGGAACTGGAGGAGAATCAATCTATGGTGCAAAGTTTGCAGATGAGAACTTCAAGATCAAGCATACGGGTCCCGGGGTGCTCTCGATGGCGAATGCGGGACCCAATACTAATGGGTCTCAGTTTTTTATTTGTACTGATAAAACTTCGTGGCTTGATGGGAAACATGTGGTGTTTGGGAAGGTGGTTGATGGGTATAGTGTTGTGAAAGAGATGGAGAAAGTTGGATCGGATGGTGGTACGACTTCTGCTAAAGTTGTTATTGAAGATTGTGGTGAGGTTAAGGAGAACTCTGAAAAGAAAAATTAGTTTTTTTATTTTATTTGGTAGTTGTTCAAACTTTGCATCTTTTGTAGCTTATTACAACCTGCAAATGGATCTTTTTTTCTTTTTATCATTTTAAACTTTTAATTGCATGTTTGTGAAACACGAATAAAAAAGGATATAATTTCTCAAGCATCAGGTTGTATTCCTTTTTCTGATGCATTTCATAGAACACCATATGTGCATGACCAAGGTTGAACCAGATGTTTCACAAAACCCCTGAAGAGGCACACTCTCATCTGATTGGAGTTTTTTTTTTACCCAAATCTGGATTAATTTGTAATCATGTATTATTTCAAGCCCTGAATGGTCAGATTTGCCCCTGTAGAAGGTTGATCTCAATTGTTTAATGATTTCTCGTGAAAGCATTGGTGAATGAAATTCCTTTATTTTGTTCATATGATAACCAAACTTTTTATTTCCAAATTATGTATCAAATCAAAAGGATATTTGTGCTGAAACTTTTATTTCCATGAGATGAACAAAAAAGAACAACTTCCATAGTTCCATCGGATTTAACCTCGTGTTGAAGATCTTTCATGTAATCAAAACCAATTTACATTCACTCAAGTGACCAATGTTTTGGAATTTGGACAGATTTGCCCTTGAACAGTGAAAATACAGTTAAATGTTGACTCTCAACTTTATTTTGGTTCGCTCCCTTACCTGCAATTTTTAGAAACCTATAGACAAACCGTAACAAAAATGTAAAACTTAGACTAAAATGCAGATAGATATAATCAATTAATATATAAACCTCATAGACCAATAAAGGATATTTAATTTGTCATAAATAAATGAAAACGACATACCATGAAGTCATAAACAGCACGTTGGTCAAACGATTTGTCACAGTACGGTTCATGCACTCAACTTCCGCAGCTTCTGGAATCTTCGTACTTTGAAACCAAAAAGGTTTATTGTCTGTAATGGTCAAACTTACAACATATACCATCTATGGTAACCGTGTCATGTGTGTCCAAAAAAAATTGTTTTATTTATCTAGAAAATAATTACAATATTATCATATCCTTCTATATACTTTTACTTTATTGTCTAGAAATTAGATGGTTTTGTATACTATTCAATAAGGCTTCATGTCGTAAATAATCAATAATTATCGAAGAGAAATGTATTTTCTTGACTAAAATCTTTTTATTCACTTGCCCACCTATTTTAAGCCGGTCGTTGATGGTAGTTTTATGTTTTGCATCAATTGCTTTAATTTTGTTCGGATTAATTGCCAAATTATATGTGAATTGTATTTTTTTTGTAGTTTATCTATGAACATTTTTATTTTGTGGATGAGTTTTTAGTTGATTAGCAATTGTTAGGTTTGATGGTTAAGGCCTTTCTTTCTTTAGTTTTCAGTTTTAAATCGACAAAGTGTACCAAATGGATGGTTAAAGAGAACCAACAGTTCAAATACACTACCGGAAGACATGACTGGAGCTTGTAAGTAATTTTGGAGGGAAAAGGGAGGAACCTTTATTTCCGATGGAGTTTGCATATAACAGTAGTTATCACTTGAGTATCAGAATGCCACCATACGAAGCATTGTATGAAAGAAAATGTAGAACTCCTCTGTATTGGTTAGAAGGTGGAGAAAAGAAACTCATATGCTGTAACATCAAGTTCCACGTATATACTTCTTTTGTTATGACTTTTCAAGCTCAAGGATGGATTTTTGTTGGCCACGACGTGATCATGAGAGTGTCACGACGTGGCGATGTCCGATGAAATCGCGCATCTCATTTGAGTGTCACGACGTGACAATATATTGGTCATGACGTGACAGCCTCCTGCATGCAAAATCCTAAATTTTTCGGCCTAAAGCCCTATTTAAGGGAAGTGAGGGCTATGGTTTGCAACCCTCAGCCTCCATCACCTCCCTTTCACCCTAAAAAAACCCTAGCCTCCATTGAGTCCTTTTTGAAGCTTCAGATTTTTTGTGACCTTGAAGGAGAAGAAGAAGGTGTTCTTAAGCATTGATTCAACAAGAAAACATCCCCATCATCTTGTTGCACACCTCATGGACCTTTGTAAGTCCCCAAGTTGCTATCTTTTGTGTTCAAACCTTTTAGATCTAGGATTAGAGACATGTTCTTCATGTTCATGTTGGTTTGGATGAGTGGATTCCATAAAGTTAGCAACTTTATGGATCATTGAGGTCCCTTGGGGGTTATATGTTCCCGATCTAGAGTTATATTGTGTTTTTAGTCTCATGCACAAGTTTGAGTTTATTTCTTCCATGTTTTTGACCTAGATTGGAAGAGAAACGCATTGGACATGCATGTCCATAAAGCACCGATTTTTATGATGCATTAGGTATATGAATGCCTTCTGGATAGTATGGATGAGTGGCCTTAGTGATTAAGAACTTAATGCATTAAGAAGGCCAAATCAGTTCCCATGACATGAAGGATTGGCCTTCACGACGTGACAAAAGGCAGTCTCAACGACTGTTTTGTCTTGAGGTCACCACGATGTGGCAGAAGCTTGGCCACGGCGTGGCGACAGGCCATGAGACTTTTGACTGTTGACTTTGACTTTGACCGTTGACTTTTTGAACATGTTTGACTTTAGGTCAAGGTCAATTTGAGGGTTTTGGATTGTAGTTTAAGGATTGGTTCCTAATTGTTGTATAAGTGAGTTGTAATACCAGTCTTTGGGATTTACGAGAGCTGTGTTGTTATCTGCTAGACTACAATGTGAGTTTTCTAACTATACATTGTACTGCTATATGTATCCTTATGTGTAGGATGTTGGTATGTTGTAGTGATATGTTAGATTGATAGATCTGTTATGATCACCTGTGATTTGTTGGTTATTGTTTATCTGTTTGCATATCATATTATGGTTGGTTGGGTTAAGGCTGTCCTGCTTTATGCTGTAGGCCAAGATACCTAGGCGGTCAATGTACTGTAAGCCTTGCGAGGCGGTGCTGTCAAACTGTAGGTCCAAGGGAGCGGTCCAGCTACTGTAGGCCTTGTGAGGTAGGCCAATAGATTGTAGGCTCGATAGAGCAGTCCAGGCATCCTGTAGGCCTTGTGAGGAGGTCCAACTAGACTATCGGCTCATGTGTGCATGCATTGTATGTGTATTGTTGTGTGGGGTATTTTGGGGGAACTTACTAAGCTTTGGCTTACAGCTGTGGATTAATTTTTTTTTAGGCACTTCAGATGATCAAGGCAAAGCGAAGGCGTGATCGTACACATCCTCCTGCTGATGTTTGTTTGAGAGATGATCTTGATACTCTGATTTTTATGGTTTTGTTTTGAAACAATGGTTGATTACTTTATGGGTTTATGAAAATGTCTTTTGAAATATAAAATTTTTTACTATAATTTTTGGGATGTTACATGTACCCAAAAATTTAAGTGTGACAAACAAGAAGATTAAAATGACTCAAGCCAAGATAGAAATGGAAGTTCTTTGAAACCGAAGAAAATACCATTTTATAACATGCAAGTTGAAATTTGGTAATGCTAAAAGTGTCAATGGGAAAAAACAGGATAATAAAATTTGGCAAGAAAGGAAAGTTGAGTCCAAGATATGTTGGACTATTTAAAATATTACAGAGAGTAGGTTTACCAGCCTTTAAACTTGATCTACCCCGAAACTTGAAGGATTACATGATTCTTTTCACATAGTTTACTTTGAAGTGTAAAATGTTTGACTTCCCGATATCCAAATTAAATGTTTAATATATCAAAAGAAAGGTCTTGGTACGTACTACACAATGAAAAAGAAGTCAGTTCAAACAGAATTCATATAAAGAAGTTATGACCGATCGATGTAGATGAAAACATGTAACAAAATTATACTATAAATCAGATGACACACAATCAAAATACAAGGCGCATGAGGTCGTCTTAGATGTCGAGGTTTGAAATAAATCATGTCGGCCAAATAAGTTATATTTAAAATTAATTAACCATAAGATAAGTAATTTTTAAATTAATTAATTATAATAATAGTTAAAAAAAATAACATTAAATCAAGAGTTATATTTAATTTTAGCTATAGGTAAGCCGTAAATAGAAGTCACTATATAAAATGTGATTCATATATATATATATATATATATATATATATATATATATATATATATATATATATATATATATATATATATATATATATATATATATATATATACACACGTTTAGGTTATTGTATTGTATTTAATTATTGTGTAAATGTAAGAATGATTGTGGACCAATCATTTTAGTTATTTTAAGAAAGCCATTTATTAATTTTATTAAATTAAAAAAATATAATAATAACATTTAATTTAAAAGAATGGTAAAATTGTACATTTCTTTTACTTTTAGATTAGGAAACACAAATTTAAAAAAGGGGAATTTTCGGATTTTAAGGGATTTTTTATTATATTAATTTTGAATTTCAATATTTTTAATTAATTTAATTTTAATTCTGTTAGAATTTTGTTTTGGTAGAATGATATTGTATGAGATTGTTTTGTCAGAATGTTATTCTATTAGAATATTATGAAAGAATAATAAAATTCTTGAATTGAATAATAACAACATTTTAATATATTCATACACATCTGAACTTAAATATTAATTCGTAAATATTCTTAATATTACTATACATTTTCTAACAGAATATCATCAAAATGAATAAAAATGTTAAGAATAGCTTTCTCAAATATACAATAATTAAAAAAAGTACACTTAATCTTCTTCAATGGTCCAAATAATCGACTTGTTTACAACTATTCTTATGAAAGTGTGATATATTATTATAAGAATGTAACTTGTTATTGAACTCGATTCTAAGTATTTCTCTTGTATGCTCAATCTTTGGTTCCTTCTTCAAACCATTATGAAAGAATAACAAATGCAAGCAAGTACATTTTCCTTAAAAATTATCATAAACTTCTATTCTTTCAGAATTTTATAATCTCATAAAATAATATTGTATGTCCTCATTCTGAAAAAATTTGCATGTTTGAAATAACATTCATTGGAAATAAAAAAAAATGTTCATTACTCTTCGAGAAAATCAAAAATTATAAATCCTGAAAGCTTCTTAATGTGTCCTGCAACAACAACAATTAACACCGTTATCAAGTTTATTGGCAATGAACCTTCCTGTATCAGAAAACTCATATGAAGCGAAATAAATTGTAGAAATATTATGAAAATGGAGACTCATTTGTAAACAACATGCTTTGAAATAATTACCAACACAAGAACCACATATCAGAAAAATATACTTTGGAGCCGGTGCGATCAATCTTTATTTCTTTCCAGCTGTTCGACTGTGGATTCGAGGGTTTCTTGTAGGCTGAGCTTTTCGTCGAGCACTTGGTCTACATGATCAAAGAAAGCGATTACATATAATCCTTCATATATGTCTTTGATGCTATAGAATTTTCCTACATCATCATGCTTATCTGTGAACAATTTAGCATTTCTTGATTGTATTTGTAAGAAAGCTAACTGCTCTTTAACATCATTGGATTCAATTTGTGCAAAGGGATAACATATAAAAGTGTTGAGAATTCTCGATTGAGATCATGAAAATGGTTAGAAACCGAATGAGTCTGAAGCAAAAGCTATAACTTACCAGATTGAGAACTATAGTCAAGCATAATTTTCGACCCGTTAAGCAGAAGGTAAAGCTCCTTGAAGAACAAAATCACCATTGAAGGCAAATCGAAGGTTGAATCCCGAACAAAATCCAACAAAACAATGAACAATTCTATCTTCCACAGCAAAGATTAAGAATTTGTTTTCTGAAACGGTGGGCGTTTGCCGGAGAATCAAGAGATGAGGTCCGATAAGATGGCGGCTCAATGATTCAATAAGGTAAAAACATCGTTTTCTAAATCCACCGGCGTTAAGCAAGCTTCTAACGTCGGAGACCTGCTCCGACATAAGCATGAAAATATAGCAGCCGATGCCATCGCTTTAAGCAAAGGAAAAAATGGTTCTCTGTAAACAGTTTCGTGATTATTTATTTGATTTCTTGGTGGGTTTGGTTGAATTTGGTGACAGGATTGGGCGCAGGGTGGAGGCAAGTCATAATCGACATGGATATATGTCTCAATCCACGGGGTTTAGGGAAAAGGAGGAGCAAGGGTGGCTTTTGTGGTAGAGGGTGGTACAAATTTTATGGTAATAGATCCTTGTTTCAAGGGATTTCTATGTATATCTAGCATTTATTTTTAGATTAATATATTATGATAATATAAAGTTACCAAAATACCCTTAAACAATTTATTAATTAATTATTATTTTTTTTTTTCAAAATTTGATTGATCCACGATGAATCCTACATTCACACAATAGATAGTTAGAATACATGGACCTAGCTCTCTCTCTCTCTCTCTATATATATATTATATATATATATATATATCTATATATTATATATATATATATATATATATATTAATATAGAGAGAGAGAGAGAGAGAGAGATGAGAGTTCAATTGAGAAAAAAAAAGGTTGAGAATGAGGGAATCATTCTCAGCCACACATTTATTTTGCCGCAAAACACTTAGACGTACCCACGGAAATGGATAACGGATATATATGTGTTTTCCAACCAAACATGTTTCCTTAAACTATGCTAATCATTACCTTAATATACACAAAAACATACTCTTTTTTTGTTTTTTTGATTTTTAGAAAGCCATTTTTATCGAAAAATTATTTTAAATATATCAAAATTCATAATTTTTCATTCTCTGTAAATAGACATCCATATTGATATAGTTTTAAGATAAAATAAAAAAATTTATTTTTTTTAGAGTTTCAGCTCTCGTTATTCATAAGTGAATAAAAATCTGATCAGATTTTTATTACAGTACATTCGTTATTCACATATGAATAAAATGTATGTTTTTTTTTATAGTTTAAGTATCGTTCATATATGAATATATGACACGTAATAAAGTTTTATTATTTAAAATATATTTTTTACATAATCTTTCGTCATATATTATATTTATATATGAATAAAACGTGTATTAGTTGTCGTCATATTTTATATTCATATATGAATAAAACATTTATTATATTTTTGTTACAGTTAATTTGTTATTCATATATGAATAAGTAGTATAAATGATATTTAAATTGTAAAAAAAATTAATTATATATTTTTATTCATAAGTGAATAACGAATGTACTGTAGCAAAAATCTGATGCATTTTTATTCACTTATGAATAACGATAACTGAAAATATAAAAAAAAAAATTATTTTATCTAAAAAGTATATCAATATGGATGTCTATTTGTAGATAATAAAAAATCATGAATTTTGGTAAAGTTAGAATCATTTTTCGATAAAAATAACTTCTTAAAAATTAAAAAAATGAAAAAAAACTATGTTTTTGTATATATTAAGGTAATGATTAGCATAGTTTAAGGAACATGTTTTGTTGGAAACACATGTGTATTCCTTATCCATTTATGCTGGTACAACGAAGACTTTTGCGGCAAAAATAAATGAGTGGCTGAGAATGATTTTTCCATTCTCAACCTTTTTTATTTTCTCAATTGAACTTACCTATATATATATATATATATATATATATATATATATATATATATATATATATATATATAGGGTTAGGTTCTATGGAAAACAAAAAACCCTACAAATCATAAAAATGCAAAAAAAAAATACTTAGAGATCACAAAACTTTTTTTTGACTTTATATATGAAAAAATCGCACCTTTTTATGAAAAATTCGATGAAAATTTTTTTGAAAAAAAACCAAAAAAAAAAAGTTGAATTTTAAATTTTTTTTTTCAGCGAAAGTTTTAAAATAGTTGCGATTTTTATATATAAAAAGTCAAAAAAAAAAGTTTTGTGATCTCTAAGTATTTTTTTTATGCATTTTTATGATTATTAGGGTTTTTTTTTGTTTTCCATATAACATATATATATATATATATATAGATATATATATAGATATATATATATATATATTATATAATATCCATTACATTAATTTAATATCAAAATGATTGTTTTTATTTAATAAATAACATAATAATTTTCAACCATATATTAATAAAATTTTAATAAGCATACAAGCATTTTCCTATTTAATACTACCTCCGTCCCATATTTATTGTCTATTTTTTGAATTTTGAAGTCTGTATTTTTCAATTTTAATATTAAATATTTTTATTTGTGTTATAAATTACTTGATGAAACTTATAACAATTAAAGGACATTTAAAACACAATCCATTTATTTATTTTTTATCAACCACAATATATTTAAAAAAAATATATTTAAGGTCAAAATTAAAGAATAAAAATTTCAAAAGTTAAAATTAGACAATAAATATAAGACGGAAGGGAATATAATGATTACCTTGTAGCGCCAAAAGAATTCATATCATGTAGATAGAATTACCCTTCTGCATCTTGGTCATAATAACCGAGTGGCGGCAAAGAATTCATATCATGTACATAGAATTACACTTCTGCATCATGGTCATAATCACCCAGTAACGAAATATCATAGGTAGCACACATAAATTTACAGGGCAGCACATCGAAAAAATTGCAATACACCAAAAATATTCTCAAAAATTTCCAGTACGCCTAAAAATTTAAGAGGTACCACGAGCTACCCCAGACACCTACATAGATTCTTCCTGTAATCACCTTTAAAGTTGTGGTAAATATGTCAATGACGGGAAACATGTATTTTATGAAGGGTTTTTATGGTCATTGCACATTGGAGGCTTAATAATTTATCTAGCAAGTGGTTTTAATAATGACGAAAACATAATACAAATGGCGATAAAAACATCAAGACATATTAATAAATAGACACGACCAAAAGAAAAAACCGACTATTCACTCTTATGTCATTGTCCCACATAAAAGGAAGATGATATTTCACTTATGATGTGGATTCATCCATTTAATTAAAATAAGGCATTTTAACTTTTATATCTTTTTAATTAAAGAGAGAATCATAATACAAATATAAAAGTAAACACCTAATTTTAAATGGATAAATCAAACACAAATAAAAATATCACCTTTCCATATAAAAACCAAACTTAACCCACAAACTACAACGGCAAAATCATTTCTTCAATCCCATGCGTTTTTCTAACATTAAGAATACTCGCACGCCTCTTCGAATACATGCATAAAATCCTCATTATAAATAATTAATACTAGTATTTCGTCACCTCACACATAGAAGTGGAGAACACATTTACAAAGTGGAGGACAAAATCATCAAATAAAGTTTGGTTCCAAACAATCATGTACGGATGAGACAAACAAAAGTAAGGTTTGAAAGTGTATCTTGATTCACACAATAGACAAATGCCAATTATTTGAAAAATTATAATAATAAAAAGTAAAACCAATAAAAACCATATATATATATATATATATATATATATATATATATATATACACACACACGACTAAAAGCGTAACTTTAAAATATAGTAAATGATAAAAATCGCAACTTATAAAATATCAATAATTTAATTTTAAAGTTACGAGGATTAAAAACTAAGGATGTCAACAAGTGTCGTGAGATCCCGATCTTCTATGGGGGTATTTGTTTAAAAAATCGGAGACGGGGGCAACGATAACCCCCGTCTTAATTTTTTTTTGGGCCGAGGCGAGGGGGGGGGGGAAGGGGTGGGTAGTCCGTTATAGTTTGTTTACTATGAACTTCTACACAACCAATTGTAATATATATATGTGGAGTTTCATATTAACTTTTCAAAAAAGCCCTATTGAAAAGATAAGACTCCAACATGCATAACCACTTATAATCACTCCTATTAACCACCCAAAGCGAAATAACATGCTTTTCAGATGACCGAGATTAAGTCATGTAACGATGCCAATATCGTGATAGGTACTTCCTTAATAAATTCAATTCACGCATTGTTTCCTTTCGATTCAGGATCTACTTATTCTTATGTGTCGAATTGAGTTTGGTAGTAAATTAAAAACCCCATTGTGTGCATTAAAAGTAGGAATGTAATTGAAATATTGGATGATAAGTTTGTAGTAGTAAGCAAAGAATGCCCAAGTGTTACCATTGAATGTTATGAAGTTAATCTCCAAGTTAATCTTATTCCCATGAAACTTGGTGGATTTGATGTCATCCTCGATATGGATTGATTATCAAAATATGAAGCTGAAGTTATTTGTGGAAAGAAAATGGTGAAAGTGAAATTTCCTAAAAGTGATCCAAATTTCATTTATGGAGACAAGAGGATAGGTGGGAATTAGTATTATTAATGTGATGAAATATAGGAAATGTTTGAAGAATGGTTGGCAATCTTATTTAGCATACATGGTGGATACAGTTAAGGATAAGAAGACCATAGAAGATATTGAGGTTGTGAAAAAATTACCTTAAGATTTTCACGATGATTTACCAGGACTTACATTAGACCGTCTAGTGGAATTTCTTATAGATTTGGTACGGGAAACTGCACCACTTTGTAAGGCACCATATCAGTTAGCACCCATATAATTGATAAAGCTAATGACTCAACTTCAAGAGGTACTAGAAATAGGCTTTATGAGGTCGAGCGCCTCACCTTTGGGAGCTCCGGTTTTGTTTGTAAAGAATAATGATGGATCAATGAGGACTTGTATTGATTACTGCAATCTTAACAAAGAGACCATAAAAGTCGATATATAAATCATCATATTCATCAACAAACAATGAATATCTTATTGTTAAATTATTAATAACAAAATTGTAACATCCCCACAATGAATATCTTATTGTTAAATTATTAATAACAAAATTGTAACATCCCCATCTGGAAAATATCACAATATTGTCTGCTTTCGGGCACTCGACATGAGAACTTCCCAGGGGGTCACCCATCCCGGTACTACTCTCGCCGACATACTTAACTGT